CTTGATGTGCCATTATGTAGAGACTGTTCTTAAAATGTAGCCCAGAGACCCCTACGGGGTCTTTAAGACCTTTTCAGGGGCTCATGAGGTCAAAACTGTTTTCATAATACAAAGATGTCATTTTCCTTTATCCTACTCATTCTCTCCTGATTTTACAGTTTTTTAGATGCTACATGATGTGTGAGGATATCATTGCTCTGATGGCTAATGGAATGTGCTCTGTGTTTAAAAAGTTTCCCTGTCTTAATTTCAAATGCGATAATGATAAATATATGTCCCATAAACAAAAGTTTGTTGGGGTCTTTGATAATTTTCAAGACTGTAATGATGTCCTGAGACAAAAAAGTTCAAGAAAGTTGGTCCAGATGAGCTGTAACTACATAGGTCTAGAGAGTCTTAAGGTATGAGAACTTAAGTTTTAGTCAGTGCCTACATTTTGTCTGGAACTGTGTCAGGTGTGACCAAGAGTAGAGCGCTGACACGAAAGGAGTATGAGGTATAGTCCTTGACATACGGTGAATGTAAAGCATTAATTATCAGAGCCATTCATTTCTTCCTTCCACTGGTGTTTCTAAGCACAAGGCATTGCAGTATGATTGTACGTAGCTCGGAGCTAATCTAGTAGGTATGGGCGGCTGCGTTACAGAAGTGTTTAGAGAAGAAGTTGCTAAAAGAAGGGTGGGGAGACGGGGAAGAGTTTGTGGGGCGTAAGTTGGGAGGGGATGTGGAAGGAGGAGGGCAAGTATTGAAGGCTTATCCTTCAGATCTCAGCTAAGACATGGTTCTTAGAGAGGCCTTTCCTGATATCCCTCTCTAGAGAACCCAATATCTTCTCCATCACAGCACACTGTCCATTTCCTTTTTAGCATTTTTATTATTTTTTAAAGTTTATTTATTTATTTTGAGAGAGAGCATGTGAGTATAAGTGGGGAAGGGGCAGAGAGAGAGATAGAGAGAGACAGAGAATCCCAGGCAGGCTCCACACTCTCAGTGTGGAGCCTAACACGGGGCTCAAACTCACAAACCTTCTGTGAGATCGTGACCTGAGCTGGATGAGTTGGATGGCTTAACCGACTGAGCCACCCAGGCACCCCTAGCATTTTTTTTTAAACCTAACCTAGCTCTTAAGGTAAGTCTGGTTGGAGCTAGAGTGCCTGGGTTCAGATCCCAGCTTTGCCACTTTCTAGTTTTAAAATCTTGGATAAGATACTTAATCTCTCTATGTTTCTGTTCCTCAACAAATGTGCTAATAAAATGAGGAATTTATGTTGAAGAGTTAGCTTAGGTTGTGACCATGGGACTGAAGAGGAAAGGGTGGATGTGAACTAGTTCAAAGGCAGATTCAATAGGTGGATTTGGATGACAAAGAGAGAAGAGGAAGGAAAGACAAGGGAAAATTCTGGGGATATTAAAGGAAAGGGTGGGGGCAACCAGCTACATATGGATTAAGGGAAGAGAGTAAAAAACAAAAACAATTCCAAAGATTGTTGCTTGAGAGATAGGGCAGAGGCTAGCATCAATCAACTTCTCTGGAGGGAAGAGGGAGAGCTATATCAAATCTGTGTTGAAAGTGAGTTGGCAGCAAGGGGCACTGGATGGCTCAGCTGGTTTTGGCTCAGGTTCTCTCATGAGATTGAGCCCCACGTCAGGCTCTGAGCTGACAGTGAGGACCCTGCTCGGGATTCTCTCTCCCTCTCTCTGCCCTTCCCTCGCCTGCACTCCCCCACACACATGCACACGCACACTCTCTCACAAAATACATAAACACTGAAACAAAATTAAAGTGAGTTGGCAGCAAGAAAATAAGTGTAGATAATTTGTCTTTAGCATGCTAGAGTGACGGGCTGAGCAGAAGAAAGTTCAGGGCAGACAAGAAAATCCGGGTGTCTGCTCACTGCTGGTCAGAGCTGAAAATCATGGGGAAGAAACTGCATGTGGCCCCAAATGCTGAACTGTGTGGAGGACGATTTTCTTTAACACTCACACAGATGCTTCTTGTGGATAAAAGAGGCTTAATACATGGCCTTCAAACTCCCTTTGGTGAGATGGGGCTTTTCAGAAGAAATAAAGCGCTGATTCAACCTAAGGAACTGCACAGCACGGGGGGAGTACATTTCTCAGTTTGAATCTATCTTTGGAAGGCCAAATAAACACAATGTTTTAAGTTGCTTTTCTAAGAGAAAGTGAGGGTCACCTTCCTAGCAGTCTCGCTCTTCAGCCTAAAATGGTACAGCGTTCCTCATGTTGACACGGTTTCACAGCACTCTAAGTTCCTGGCCACAGCTTCCCGTGATGGCTTCTGGATGTCCTATTTGCAACAGTCAGACTCTCTGCCCTGGCAAGCTGCTGAGACCCCCCAGGACAACTGAACTGCAGATAAAAATCTTCCGGGGAAGTAGGTGTGGGCAGGAAGTGTGGTTTCCTTGTCTCTCATTTAAAGACTGATGCAATTAATTTTTCATGAACAGTCTCTTCCAGTAAGTGGTACATTCCAGAGTGTTTCCAGAGAAATGAGAGAGGACAAGCCAGTTCCTGATCTTCAGTTTGAGTTGAGACTACAGCACTATGTTTTTCAGTGCCACGGACAGACACACCAAGGAAACTGTGTCCCCACCATCGGCTCAAACCAGCCCCCTTTGCTAATGTGACCTCCAGGACCTGAGTTAGCCATAACACCAACACAACACACAGCAGACCATGCACTTGTTTACCAAATAATCTGGAGCCGAGCCAACCTACTGTGTGCACAGTAGTCAGAATCCAGGAAGATTTTCCTAAATCTTTAGTGATAACACCCACACAAGATTCTTTGACATTCCAGCTAACCGCTAAGTTATGGCTCTGCAAAACATCTGGAACATACATTGCTGGAAAAAATTATAGCATTTTTTCTACAACTCTCCATGGTCTAAGCATTGTGTGCTCTGGCCTGACAGGAGCCTCTGCGGCAGGATCACATGTGGGGGCCCCGGGAAGCTGCCCTGGCACACGGACAGGCATGGACTGACCTGAACGTGGTCCAATTTCACTAATCAACTAGCTACGTAGTGCCACTTAAAGTGCAGAGCAGAATTCAATGGTGAAAAAATGTGCATGCTGTTATCCCTAAAAAGATCACTTTCTCTATAGAAAAGTAGAGGCTTATTTCATCTGACATTCTAGGCCTTTCCACCAATGGAAGCAAAGACAGTACCTGAGATTTGATGATAAAGTCAAAGCCACAATGAACTACCCCTTGGCCGCCCCATGGTCACTGAACCAGACAGCAAAATACCATCTCTATTCTGAGAGTTTTCTCAGCCAAACACCTAGGAAAATGTCTTGATGACAGATGTACCTGCTTTATCCAGAGAAGATTTTTCCCAGAGAACAAGCAAGGCTGGACCAGACTCAGTACTTTAATTTTACAGTATCTCAGGTACTCATGCCTATTTTCACTGACAGTTGATCTCTTCATTAATTTACTATTTCTTTATTTGATTTACATCATCCTTATTAATCAGATTTAAGAAGAAAAAAAACCCTTCAAACACTACAAGAGCTCTTCTCACTGTCTGGTGCCTTGTTAAAGGAGAGAGCTCGGAGAAGGGGGGATGGAATGCCTGCCATTGGAGGAGCTAACAGGCCAGGTCCCGCGTTACGTGTTGTAACAGATTCTCAAGCAGGACTAACTAAATAATTGGTGGAGTCCAGTGCAAGATAAAATGTGAGTCCTTTGTTCCATACATATTAATAAATTTGAGAGTGACAACAGAGTGTTAACCCAAGTGCAGGGCCCTCCTGACTGTGCGTCCCTCCCTATGTAGCTGCACAGGCCACATGCCCATGAAACTAGCTTTGCTCTCAAGCTAGGCTGCTAGGCTTGAATCTGGTCACGTGATTTTAGACAAGTCATCTGTAAAAGGGGCAGAGTAATAGTCCCTACGTCACTGAGTTGTTATTAGGATTAAATGAGTTAATATTTGAAAAGTGCTTAGAAGAATACCTGGCCTACAGCAAGCACATACATAAATGCTTAGTAAAAATACATTCTGCAAGCCCAAACATCTCAAAATGCCAGGGGCAGTTACAGCCATGACAATGTGAGTTTACTAAAGCATTTTTTTAAAAGTAGGCTCTATGCCCAGCATGTAGCCCAACACAAGGCTTGAACTCACAACCTTGAGATCAAGACCTGAGCTGAGATCAAGAGCCACACACTTAACCGAGTGAGCCACCCAGGTGCCACACCTGAACATTTTAAAAAATGTTTTGAGTTTCAGGAGTTGGGTGGTTCATTTGGTTAAGTGTCTGACTCTTGATTTTGGCTCCAGTCATGATCTCACAGTTGGTGAGTTCAAAACTCCTGATGGGCTCTGCAATGACAGTGTAGAGCCTCCTTGGGATATTCTCTCTCTCTCTCTCTCTCTCTCTCTCTCCCTCCCTCCCTAACCCCTCTCCTTCCCCACTCATGCACTTGCACACACACTCTCTCTAAATAAACTTAAACAAATAAATAAAAAATAAAAAGGAAAAAAATGTTTTGAGTTTGGATTCCTGAAAAACAGAATCACGTATGACAGTCGCCACCTTTTAATGTATTTTAACAATAACACAAGAGATTTCAAAAGATATTCTGGATTGAGGGCAAGTACTCACAAAGCAAAATCAAAGAACAAAATAAGATGCCGGTTTATGTTCACGATTCTGGAAGCCTGTGGAATGCAAATTGTCATGAAGCCCATTTAATATAACTGGTTCCTTTATAATGAAAGGATTCACTAGGGACTTTACTGCTTCCATACAGGAAATATGGCCTGTTGTATCTGAACAAAAACTAAGATATATCTTACTCTGCTACAATGCAGAATACTGTAAACAAAACAAAACAAAAGAGCTGCACAACAGGAAATGTTACTAATCATACTAATTCTATATTTAGTTGCAGGGAAAATATTACTAAATCAAGTCAGCAGATAACTTGCAGGTAGTGACAGAAAAGAAAATAAATTTGGTGCACAGAGGCATAAATACTTAATGATTTATTAACATCTGTTTTACAAGAGCACCCTCAGTTTCTTTACTGAGTTAGTTACACATCTTTTACTCTTCACCCCAAGAATTCTCAGGACCTTCAGAAGCCTTTACAATAAACATGTAGTTTTTTTCTCCCCAATATAATAAATATGGTTGACTGCAGAATTCTAAAGAAGAAAGTTGTCATTCATCAGACAATTCGCCCGAGGTACACAGACTTGGGATACTTCTCCTTAAGAGCCGGCCACTGAACAATGAAGTAATCGGAGAGGTGAAACAGAATTTTTCCGGATAGGGATAAATGTTCTACTCGGCAGATGCTTTCAACATAGACAATGATCACTTTCTTTATTCCTAGTATCCCAAGGAGAAGGGCAGAGATGCAGATAGGGACACATGTTCCGGGTCCATTGCACAACACCTTAAAAAAAAAGGTTGAAGGTCAAATTAACATACAGAATACTAATCTAAATGAGGCATTTAAAGTTAGAAACAGTCACACCTTAGAGATTTTTTGTTATTCTAAGCGTTGAATTATTCCTGGTCAAGATCTACTATGCAGCACACAGGAGCAGGCAGGGCTCCGTGCTGGCTCTCCTGTGTGGCTCGAGGCAAACAGCTTGACTTCTCTGGGCCTGGGTGGCCTGCCCTGTGCTATCAGATGTGTCCAGCACAGTGCCTGGTGCCCAGCCAGGATCCACTGACAGGTGTTTGTTGCCTTTCTCCAACTGCTTGTGGCTCACAGAGAGAAGACAGATAAAGTCGGCTATGAGTCACTGTTTTCTCATGTACCAACTTGTTCTTGTTGATTTTCTACAATAATCTTTAGAACAGTTGGAGTATTAACATGTAAGATGTAGTAGAAAGCATCTTTAAATGACTACGTAGGATATTTTCGTGGGCTATATACATAATCATTTTAGGAGTCCAGGGCAATAAATGGGAAATTTGAGAGAAGGCTACTAAATGAATGACATTTTTTCCTCTCAAGAGAATTTAATCTGTGCTTGTGGTCTAGAGATTTTAACGCTTTTGAATTCTGCTTTTACTGAAAGCCACCGGTTAAAAACAACTTAGAAATAATAATTGTTATTTGGCGAAAGTAACAAGAGAAATAGAAATTCAACTCCTAGAGCAACTGGAAAGAAGTTTTAGAAGACTTTTAAGAAAAACGAGAGGATCTTGAATGCTGACAAAAACTGAGGACTGATGGATGTGGGTGGGAGGGGGGGAGGGGCATGGAGGAGGGCACTTTGGGGATGAGCACTTATGTGGAAACTAATTTGACAATAAACTATTAAAAAAAAAAAGAAAAAAAAAAAAGAAAAACGAGAGGAAACCAATTTCATGGAATTGTTGGTAAGAAAATTTATTATTATTTTCCGAGAAAAATTGTCCTGTACAACATCATAATTAACTCGTATTAACTTAGTAAAACTTAATAACACATGTTTTTTACTCCACAAATATAAAACAGGAGATCTGTGGCTGTCTACACGTGCCTGCTGGGCATTATCTATATGTCACACGGTCTTTCCAGCACATAGTCCACAAAACTTATCAGACATCAGAGAATCTTAGAGTTGAAAGGGTGCCAAGATATACTGTCTGACCATCTCGGCATTTCAGAGACTGTCCCGATGGACAGACAGACCTTCTGCCAGGGCTGTAAGACTCGGTCACAGTTCTCAGGGTTTGATAAGCTATCTGATCTAGGCTCCACCCTTCCAGGGGCACACCATCCACAGAACTCTGGCAAGAGAGAAGGTAGCCTGTTTCAGGTGGGAACTGATCTTTTTTATACCTTCCTTAAAGTGGCTACCTACCTACCCTGACTTTATAAAGATATTTTGTTCCGTTTTTCTTGAATTACCAGCTACTAAACTGCTCTCCAGACCAGTCTTCGCTGATCCCTAGTGAGTTGCCCCTATAACTTTTCTTCACAGACCCTCAAGACACTGTAAAGGACACAGGACTGGTGTTCAACCCTGCTCAACATCGCTGAATAGAACAGGGTTCAATTACTGTCTCATTACTGTTGGGGCAGTAATGAGAATCACCACCTTGGGTCTCACTGCCACTCTGTCAACAACTCACTGTGGCCAGGTACCGTCCACATGCATTATTCTAATTACTTGTCACGGCACCTATTTGAGGCAAGTTTTATTGTCCCGTTTTGCAGAATAGGAAACTGAGGCACAGAGAGATTGGGCAAGTTGCCTGATCACACGTTCAGGAGTGGAGGGGTTCTACTGCTTCAGTCACTTTTCACCTGTGACTCAGTTACCATATGCACAGGGAGGCTGGACTAAATGACTTTCCCTGTCAGCTCCAGAATTCTTCTAATTCTAGGACTCTAATTTGCCTCTAGTTTTGTCCTATGCCTAAATCACAAGATTGTTCTGAACCTTTCAGAGTTCAGAATTCTAAAAATCCTATTAATGCAAGGTTTCTCAACAGTGGCATTACTGAAATTTTGGACAGGGTAGTTCTGCACTGTGGTGGCCTGTCCTGCACATTGTAGGATGTTTAACAGCATCCCTGGCCTCTACCCACAAGATTCCAGTAGACAATTACGAATGTCTCCAGGGGCTGCCAAATGTCTCCAGCTGAGAACCACTGAATTAATGTATTCCCTAATCCTTGGATTATGTGGGTTGCTTTTCTCTATCTTTTTTTTTTCCCATGGAGCAGAACAAAATAAAACCTACAGCTAAAAAGTAATGTGAAGATTGTTTGTTGGGTCTTCAATGTCACAAAAATATTTTCGTGTTCATTGCCTTTGAAAGAACTGTACATATCCACGTGTGCTCCTTTCACTATCTAAATATACAGGCTGTGAATATTCGGATGGAAATGTCTGCATATAGACTGGGCATTGGTGGGAGATGCATTAACAACCTGCTATAGATCAGAAACAGAGACTATTAAGATAAAAGTGGAAATTAAAGGTACTCATTTGTTTATCTCTGTCCTATCTCTATTTTGAGGCGTCTTACTACTAAAGTCCTAGAGATGATAAAACCACAAAACCATAAATCAAGTATTTTTAAAAAATGGCAAATTAATCTTGAGGAAAACTTTGGCTAAGGAAAGCTACTTTTAATTAACCACAGGTTTTAACTCTGCATTTTAACAGAGGCCTAGGCAAAACAATTAAAAAACTGTGGACTGTGGACTAACTTACCACTGTTTAACGAAACATATCAATATGAGAGACTTATCTAAGCACTGAACAAAAGAGAATTTATTAAGTAAAAAAGATGTTAAACAATATAATGGTTGATCCTATCTTTTTAAAAAAACACAGAAATACTCTACATATTTCTATTTCTTAAAATGGACATTCTCAAACAATACAGGGGCATTGCTTTTACTGTCTTTCCTCCTTACTACTGTGTAAGCTTTTTAGGGCAACATCCAGGACCATCTATGTTCTATACCTGGAACAAAAAAGGCACTCACTAAATTTTGCTCAAAGGAAGGAGTAAAGGGGTAAAGGGGGGGGGTTCCTTTGCCCATTGTATATGGAGTCAAATGCTCCATTTGCTACACTCAACTCCGTTTATAACTCTATCATACACACATAACATAAACATAATGGCTGTAACTGACAGCTTTTTCAAAAACCATCCCACATCCATTTGCCTTTTCTTCAGGGGAACCATTGTACTGTATTTCTCTCTCAACTGAGGTGCTTGGATAGACTCCATAACCCAACTATGAGGAGAGGACATATGACTCCAGTCTGACCAGTCCTGGAATCGCATTCCACTGACAAAAGTCACTTGTTCAGGGAAGAGCACCTAATCCAGTGAGAAACCAGGAGATGGAATGGGACATTTGTTGGGGCTGCTGAGAGAGCAGTGCCTTTTTTTTGCCATACTAAAACCTTGGCGGATTTAGGCCTGGCACTGTTAACACTTATCTTGCTACCCTGAGAAGGAAGCCATCACAAAGCAGAACACAGCAGAACTGTGAGATGAAGACAGGCCAGGTCCCAAAGGTAGCATTTACGATCCATGAATCCAGCTGTGCCTGAAGGAAACCAGATCTATCTCTAGACTTGCCAGGTATGTGAGGGAATACATTCCATTTTTACTTAAGACAGCATGAATCAGGACTTCTGTCACTAGTAATAAAAAGCATACTAATTGACGTAGCCCTTGATTTTGTCTAACTCCCTGACTAGCCTCTGACTATTTGCAGTGCCAACTGGTTAAGTGTTCAGTATGTTTCTGCTAGATGAATTAGCAAACCAATAAATAAACTTTCTCTGAGAACAGAAAATCCAAGAGATGTACTACGGATAATACAAATTATAGGTCTAGAAAAGAGAAAGCGGTCAGGGCTAATATAAATAAGAGGTGGTGAGGGTAGATGAGCCTGATCAACAATCAGTGGGTATAAGAGGACTGTTGCTCTGTAGATGTGGCTGAAACGTAACACTGGCATGTATGAAGAGATACGGTTAATTTGGGGAGTCTGAACTCAACTTCCAGCCTAGGAGGCACCCCATACACAGAATACGGGCCAAGACCTCTGGGGTCTGGATTGGTTTGAAGGTAAGAGACCATGAAGCTGAGAGTGATCCAACAGGGAGCACGTGAAGGCGAGATTAAAAGCCAGATGGGGAGCCCAACTAGGGCTGCAACTGCAGGGAATGCACAGAGAAGCAGAGTCCGCCTCTGAGGTACCTGCCTGAAAGCTAGGCTTTCAAGCAGCTTCTTGCTCGTGGAGGTGGAGGCTGGAGAGAACTCGTGAACAGCAGGCACAGAGCTGCGGGGACAGTTCCGCAGACCTTCCAGGCTCATGCATAAAGCTGGAGAACCAGAGGCCACTGTCAAAGCTGGGCTGGCTCAGGCAGGTAGTCTCTGTGGAGGTCACAGGTTTCAAAATCAACACCCCTGTTTATTAGGATACTGGCTTCGCTTTGTAGACAGGTAAACGGGGAGATGCGGGAGGGAGCAAACACTGAGGTGGAGGAATAGTCCAGAGACACAGGCCGCAAAACATCTTAGATTTAAGGCTTAACAGGAAGCAAAGTCAGATAAAGTGCTTAAGAGCATATCTTCTTATTTTAGAAAAATAAGAAACCCACAAGGTCGCCTGACTTCAGCCTATGACCCAAAGTGTGTCAAAGATAATGAATCAATGTTTCCTGTAGCCAAGAAAGCTAGAGATGGTTAGACTTGGCCAAGGGAAGGGTAATGGAAACCTCAGAGGTGGCTATTCCAGTGTATCTTTGGGCTAAAATACAGGGCAGGAGAAGAGTGAGGGCCCCAGGAGGAGCCGGGTGACTGAAGCAGGCTGGGGAAAAGGGTTACAGAATGGAAGGAATGGTCTACATGTGAACATAAAGATCAGTGGAACCGGTGGTGACGGAGGAGCTTACTCTACAGAAAAGAGTGAGTTCTTTCAATACCAGGAGAAAAGAATTAGAATTCTGAGTATTTTTGAGGTTGGTTTGGGAAAAATTGTTATTTTCTGAGGGCATGACAAAGGATAAAAATGGTGGCACTGGAAGTTTGCTCCCAGTGGATTTTCTTTTAAATGCAAACACTTCCCAGCTCATTGTGGAAACTGCAAAAAGCATACAGAAAAAAAAGTAATCCTTCTAATCTCATCAATCTGTTAACATTTTGGTGTATTCCCTTTCAGTGAATGTCTTTATATAAACATTTATATTTTACTGTAAAATAGGATCACATATGCACATACATAATTGTGAGACCTTATATATAAACATTGTAGAATTGTTTAGCTATAGTTTTGTGTGTTATAAAAAGTCTTTAAAAATTTCATGATTTTTAATGACTGCATATATATTTAATTCTATGGATAGCTCATAATTCAATAACTCTTCCCTGTTAGAAATTCAGATTGACTCCTTTTCTTTCTGTTCTAAATCATGCTGTTTGAACATCTTTGTGTAGATATCTGTGACCCCTAAGGTTTTAATTTTGGATTGGACTACGTTCCAGAGTTCTTGCTGAGTGAGAGGTTAGAAGACACAGCTTCAAGGACTTAAGGAAGTTGCAGAAAGTTTATTAAAACAACTGTCATGAGTTGGGAAAGGGTCATGCGGTGTTTTGGGTTTTGTTCCTGCCTAGAATCTGGCGATTTCTTACCATATGAACTGCGGCAGCAAGCAGAGCCCCTCTCATGGCGTGAGACTCCTGTCTAGGTCCCCTATGCAGCTAGTGGACGGGCCAGGGACTTGGCCAGAGCTGCTACCTGGATCTGACCAGGAGCACGTGGTGCAGAAAAGCATTTCTGGAGGAGAAACTGTTTTTGTGGCAAAGGTGCCACTGAAGAGACTCCTGTCCAGTACGAGCGGTGCCAGGGGCGTACGGGCGGTGCCAGGGGCAGTGTTCGCTGTCCAGCAGCAGTGGCAGAAGTGTCTTCCCAAAGCAGGTCTATGGCCATGGCCCCAACTGTTTAGCTCTCATCTTGTCCCTCCATGTTTTCTAGTCCAACTTCATTAGCTTTTTCAGTAATTCTGAGAGCTCTTCTTTGAAGGTTCCCAGACTCATGGGGGGGGGGGGGGGGGGGGGGGGGGGGAGGGGGAGAGTGTGGGCGGTTTCCCTACACACAATATCAAGCAATTCTCGGATATCAGCAGTGTGACTGAGAATTCAACTCAATTTTGACATTATCTGGGGATAGTACCAGAATCCACAGGTTAAAGGATCAGTCCTACGAGACTGCCCCTCAATCCCCACTTCAGACATCAGTCACCAAGCCCCAGGCTGTTTAACCGGTGCTTCTGACTGATAGGCTACAGCCTGGAAGTTACAACGACCTCCTAGGTTCTTTTACTTTGCTAGAAGAAGAGCTCGCAGAACTCTGGGAAACATTTATGTTTACCAGTTTATTAAAGGATATGATAAAGGATATGAATAAATAGCCAGATGAAGAGATTCATAGGGTGAAGTATGGCACACCACTGTTTCCAGTCTCTAAGTGTTCACCAACAAAGTTGTTCTCTAAACCCAAACACCCTTTTGGCTGTTTATGGGGACTTCATTACATAGTCATGACTGACTAGGTCATTGGCCATTTGCTGATTCGACCTCCAACTCTTCTTTCCTCCTCTGAATTGGAGGTTTGGGGTGGGGGTCTTGAAAGTTCCAACCTTCTAATCACAAGGTTGGTCCTCCTAGCAACCAGGACCCAAAAGTCACCTTCATTAACGTAACAAAAGACTCATTCATTGTCCTGTCACAGGAAATTCCAAGGGTTTGGGAGCTTTGAGCCAGAAACCTTGGACTAAGACCAAATAACATATGAAAAATATATTATTTGGTCATTCAAATGACCAAATAATATATTTCTTATAAATCACATAATTGTAGCTTTCAATAGCCTTTCACTAAATTCTTTTTCTATTTCAATCAGCCAGTGTGGATTAAAAAATTTTTAGCTTATTTATTGTAAGAGCAAGAGAGAGAGAGAGAGAGAGAGAGGCAGAGAAAGAGGAGGTAGAAAATCCCAAGCAGGCTCTGCATCATCAGCACAGAGCCTGATGTGGGACTTGAACCCCTGAGGTGTGAAATCATGACCTGCGCTGAAATCAAGTGTTAGATGCTTCACCAACTGAGCCACCCAGGCGCCCCAGCCAGAGTGTATTTTTGTGGTTTCTTATCAAGAATCTGGACTGGTATGGGAAGAACCAAGGCTATGAGAGTAGCAGAGTCTGATGAGGAATGGACCATGTCAGGACAGAAACGAGATTTGTGTAGGCAGGGCTAGGAGCACTGGAGCACAGGAAGCAGACACAGTGAGACGTGGATGAGGGCTACGGCATGGGAAGGGCCACGTGAGCAAGCAAGTACTCCAGCATGGGAAGGGTAGGTGAAAGGCCTCGGCCAGAGAGGAGGAGGGCAAGAGCAGTGAGGGAACACCTCAAAAACTGGAGGGAGAAGCATCTGTGAATAATCAAGGCAGTGAGGAAGAAAATGCAGTTGGAGAGAGGTGCTCTGTAACACGCAGAGGTTAGTCAGGGGACCAGAAAGCTCGGGTGACGCCTGAGGAAAGGCAGTGCTGAGTGTCCGTGATCAGCAGAGGTGGACGGCAGGAAGGAAAAGGATGAGCAGCAGATGGGATGACGTATTCCTTGGCTCACGATGTGGTACATTGCATTTCTTCTTTTTTTATGTATATTTGATCATCTGAGTATTAACAGTTAAACAGAAACATCTAAATATCAAAAATAATGTGAAATAACCAAATAAATCCTCAACACTAGAATCACCAGCTATTTATGAACCTTGAGGTCTCTTACAGTTCCATTGCTAACACACAGAAATTTCAGAGTCGTCACCATTGTGTAATAGCATTCTGAGGTGTGCTTTTCCAATTCTGTCACTCCTTCCATTCCAGGTGCTACATAGGCATTCGTTGCTTCACTGCACGAATGTGCTACGGTCTACCTGGATACTTCTAAGCTCCTCTTGATGCGAATACAGCTTTCATCTTCTTTTAAGAAGGTAAGTAAATTTAATAAGTTGTTTTTTACCTAGGCTACTGTGCTCATGCTGTAAGGATACTGATTTTATTGTTGGCTCCTCAAATTATCAGTTACTTGTATTTTGCTTGGTGACAACTCAAAAAAACTGTTCCTAATGTAAATTAGGTTTCTGGACCAAATTCCAACGTGTGTGTGTGTGTGTGTGCGTGCTTCCCTACACCAACAGTGATCCAGACATTGACTGGGTGTCTTATGATTTGACTCAATTCTGACACTACCTACACAGATTCCATAGGTAAAGTGCTCAGTCCTGTAACTTCGGCCTCCACTTCAGACACCAGGCACATGCCCAGGATGGTACTTGTGCTTCTGGCTGACAGGCTACACACCGGAGGCTCCAGCTCCCTCCTCAAACTCAGGATACTGCAAGTCCATATTGTTACTGGTCCTTCTGACTGAATGGTTGTAAATCAGATGTTCCCACAATCCCTTCCTTGGGTTCAATTAATTTGCTAGAATAGCTCACTGAACCCAGAAGAATCCATTTGCTCACTAGAATGCGGATTTATTACGAAGGATGTGAAAGGATATGAATCAACAGCTGGGGGGAGGGGGGACACACACAGGGCAAAGTATGGGGAAAGGGCACATGGAGCTTCCGTGCCCTTTTGGAACTTGCCATTCTCCCCCAATCGCCATGTATTCACTAACCCAGAAGCTTCTGAACCCTGTCTTCTTGGGAGTTTTGTGGAGGCTTCATTACACAGCCATGATTGATTAAATGATTAAGTGACTGAATGAACCTCTAGGCTCTCTCCCCTCCGAAGGTCAGGCGGGGGGTTGGGACTGAAAATGTTAACCCTCTAATCACATGGTTGGCTACGTTGGCAACCAGCCTCCGTATAAAACCCTTAGGGGCTCTTCAAATAAAACCCTGCTGTCCTCATCACTTAAGAAATTCTAAGGGCTTTAGACGAGCTTTGAGTCAGGAACTGTGGATTAAGACCAAATATATATGAGAAAAACATTTTGGTCACCTGAATGACTATATATATACTTTTCTTCTAAATCACAATACCACACATTGCCATTAAAAAAAAAAAAACAACAGCAAATTTTTGTCCTGTAGGATCTTCCCCAGTTGATTAAGTTCCCTATATTGACACCCCAACACTGATTACTCCAGTTCAGCCAGAATATTCTTGTTCATGTTGCATTCACACAATTCATCAAGAGGCTGGACAACATGGTGCTTATGGGGCAGGGATTTGCAATCACAGAGACGTGGGTTGGCTCTTCCACAGCACTGTGACCAGGGACAAACTGCTTATCCATTCCATGGCGCAGTTTCCTCACTTCTGGATTACTTCATTCAGGAAATATTTACTGAGCAAAGATACTGTGCCAGGTACTATTCTGGGTATTGGGAATGTATTGGTGAACAAAAGTCTCTGCCTTCACAAAGTGAACATTCTAGTGGTGGACAGAAAATAAGAGATGCAGGTGTGAACATATAACATGAAGCAGGATAAGGGAACAGGAGATACGGAGGTCAAGTAAGATCTGGGAGGAGGAGACCTGTAAGCAAATATGTGATGAAGTGGTATGTCTTCCGAGTAATAGAGACATCAGAGCAAGAGGCAGGAAAGAAGAGGCAGATTTTGTGGACTTACTATAAGTTACTGAGGGCTAAGGAAAGGGTGGGTGGGGTTAGGGAGGGGCAGGAGCTGGAGACAGATCAGAATTTAGCAGAGCTGTGAGGTCCAGGTGAAACTCTACCTTAGGGGTTTGACTTTCTGTGGTAAATATTGGAAACAAAGACACACAGGACCAGATGACACTGGTCTGATGGTGTGGTGGGGTGGCAAAGAATAAGCTTTAATGTGTTCTCCTTCTTGGGAGTTTGTAGTGGGTAGGGAGGGAATGTTAAGGATAGGGAAGAGTCATTAACCAGAAACAAAGAGAACACGAAGGAAACAGCATCTACTTAATAGTATTACTGTGGAGGTTAAATACGATAATACATGTAAAGCATTTAACGTAGTGCTTGGCCCATTTTAAAAATTCAATAAATGGCAGTTATTATTATGATCCATCCAAAAGTCAAGGAGCATAATTATGGCATTTTTCAAACTCTTCAGAGTGCTCACAAGGCTCTTCCCTCACTCTGTCACAGGTATAGCACTGACCTGGCATGATTTGCTCTACCCGTCAGAGGTTACCTTAGAAGAGTAACCCAACCATCCATTTTGATCTTTACCTTCCAGTCATGTTTTCTGCCCTGCCTGCTCCCCTCCAAGTGATGCCTGTGTAAGAAAATGATAGAAGGAGCCTGATTACCAGCAACAGTATTTTCCGGATTTCCACAGATGCTAGACACCTGAAAGATTCTTGAGTGACCCTGCTTTGGGCCTGCGGAGCCCCGGCAGTGTACATCTCAGCCTGTGGCCAAATGGCTGTGAAAGTTGATTGGCTGCAGCACGGTTGGCAAGCCTGATAACATGATGGATAAGGCTCATCGTGTTCATTTCAAAACGATGTTTTACCCTTGCCTGGGAAACTAGATTCCCAGCCTGATTTGTTGGGTTTGGGTTCAGCAACAGGGGTGGCAGGTAAAGAGGGAGCAGAGACATGCAGACATCAGGCTCCAGTATCCCCACCACAACTGAGGGACGCTCAAATGTAGTTTCAGTGCATGTTAGCAGGACTGTACAGACCAGGGCTCCCTGAAGCTGGGTGCTCTGTACATGGCGATGGCCAATCCTCCCACTCTGAGTGCAGAGTCGGCGAAGGAACTCAGAGCTTGTTAGGGGGACACACTGGGCTTCCTTGCCCTGATCTCCCATCATGAAAAAGTAAATACATATGTAAAATTAAAACTTAAAATTTTTTCTTGTCTGGTTAAGCCATGCTTGCTCTGCACCATTATTAAAGATCACTGTCAGGCTAATCAAACATTGTTCTCCTAACCCTTCCTGGAAGCAGTTGAGGAAACTGCATTTTTTTGTTTTCCTGTTCTCAGGACCAAATGGTCAAGGTAACGTTCATTTCCTGCCTTCGTGGTTTTTGTTTTCACTGTATTTTCAATGTTCTGAAATAATTTTACAGAGATCTTTGAATCATAGTAATTCAGTATTTTTTCCTTTGTTTTCTCCGCACCCTATATTCCATTGCTCTCCCAGAAGCAGATTGCTAGAGCTAGATGCGGCCTCTGGGAGTCATTTAGCACAATCCTCTCCTTGTCTCCTGAGAAAGAAGGGCAAGACCTTGACCTTTACAGGCACCTACTATTGCCAGGCACAGGACCTATGTGACATTTTGCATAATTACCTCACTTAAACCTACAACCGTCCTCCGGAGTGGGTGCTGTTGTCCTCACATCTTGGACAAGAAAACTAAAGCACAGAGAGATTACATGACCTAAGTAAGATCACACAGCTGAGGCTCTAATCCAGCTTCTGGAAGACAAGTCTCTCCTGTCCACCATCCTGATCTGGCTCTGCCCTGTACCTGTCAACCAGATCCAGCATTAGCTGGAAGTAGGCGTAAAGGCAAGTAGGGCTCCAGGGCAGATAGGACTCAGGGAGTTTAACTGCAGGTGAAATTCTGGCAACTATTACTAATATTTTATAGCTTTAATAGAGAAATTGGTGGCAGACCAGAACATGCCACTGGACTAGGATGGATTAGGAAAGCTTTTCAGCAGGTTAAATAGAAAAAATGGTTAACATTTTTATAAGAAAAAGGAGAACCCTTTCTAAACAGGAAGAATTGGCTTGATCAGAGCAGTTATATAATTTCTAACTTCTGTCAAGACCCTTTCTTAACTAGATAAGTGATAGTTTCTTCATGATTTTTTTTTTTTTAACATGTGGCAATGTACAAAATTTCTATCGTGCTGAACTGAAAGCTACTCAGTAGTTTTCCTTAGGGAATTTAGGCACGTATTATTTTTGCAATACAGGCATATCTTGCATTGCTCTTTGCTTTATGATGTTCCGCAGATACAGTGGTTTTTGTTTTTGCTTTTGTTTTTAACCCGCTGAAGGTCTGTGGCAGCCCTGCATCGAGCAAGCCTATCAGTGCTGTTTGTCCAACAGCATTTGCTCGCTTCAGGTCTCTGGGTCGCAATTTGGTAATTCCTGTACTATTCCAAACTTTTTCATTATTATTGTATTTATTATGGCAATCTGTGATCAATGATCTTTGGTGTTACTATTGGAACTGTTTTGAGGTGCCACGAACTGTTCCCATGTAAACCAGCAAATGTAACTGATAAATGGGTGGGTGCTGACTGTTCCACCAACCGGCCGTTCCCCTTCTCTCTCCCCCTCTCCTTGGGCCTCCCTGTTCCCTGAGACACAGTGTACTGAAATAAGGCCAATTAATAACCCTACCAGAGCCTCCAAGTGCTCAAGCGAAAGGAAGAGGTACGCGTCTCTCACTTTAAATCAAAAGCTAGAAATGACTTAAACTCCGTGAGGAAGGCATGTTGAAAGCTGAGATCGGCCAAAAGTTGCCACACAGTTAGCCAAGTTGTGAATGCAAAGGAAAAGTTCTTGAAGGAAATTAAGAGTGCTACTCTGGTGAACACACCAATGCTAAGAAAACAAAACAGTCCTACTGCTGATATGGAGAAAGTCTGAGTGGTTTGGAGAGAAGATGAAACCAGCCACAGCATTCCCTTAACACAAGGCCTAATCCAGAGCCAGGCTCTAACTCTCTGCAATTCTAACAAGGTTGAAGGCTACACTAATGGCTTTTTCCTAAAACAGGAACACTGGTAGGAACTGAGAGAAGCAATTCATTCTAGCAGGAGTTGTTTCATGGGATTTAAGAGAAGCAGCCATTTCAGTAACTTAAAAGTGCAAGGTAATGCAGCAAGTGCTGATATAGAAGCTACAGCAACGTATCCAGATGATGTAGCTAAGTCATGAAGGGGCTATACTAAATGAGATTTTCAATGTAGACAAAGCATCCTTCCACTGGAAGACGATGCCATCTAGGACTTCCATTGCTAGACAAAAGTCAACTACCTGGCTTCAAAGCTTCAAAGGACAGGCTGACGCTCTTTAGGAGCTGATACAGATGGTGACTGAGCTGAAGCCAATACTCACTTATCATTCTGTTTTTTTTAAATATATTTTGAGAGAGGGAGAGAGAGCGAGAGCGAGCGCATAAATGGGGAAGAGGTAGAGAGAGGGAGAGAGGGAGATAGGGAGAGAGAGAGAGAGAGAGAGAGAGAGAGAGAGAGAGAATCCAAAGCAGGCTGAGTGCTGTCAGCACAGAGCCCAATGTGGTGCTCAAACTCATGAATTGTGAGATCATGACCTGAACTGAAATCAAGAGTCAGATGCTTAACCAACTGAACCACCCAGGAGCCTTGCTCACTTACCATTCTGAAAGTCCTAGGACCCTAAAAGGACTATGCTAACCTACTCTGCCCATGCTCTAGAAATGGAACAACAAAGCCATGGATGACAGCACATCTGTTTACAACATAATTTACTGAATATTTTAAGCCCACTGTTGAGAATTCCTGCTAAGAAAAAAATTCTTTTCAAAATATTACTACTCACTGACAATGTGCCTGGTCACCCAAGGACTCTGATGAAGATGCAGAACAAGATTAATGTTGTTTTCATGCTGAACACAACATCCATTCTGCAGCCCATGGATCAAGGAATAACTTCAACTTTCAAGTCTTCTTATTTAAGAAATACATTTTGCAAGGTGATAGCTATTTTAGATAGTGGTTCCTCTGATGGACCTGGGCAAAGTCCATTAAAAACCTCTGGGAAGGAGTCACCATTCTAGATGACATTCATTATTCATGGCCAAAATGTCAACATGAGCAGGAGTTTGGGAGAAGCTGATTCCCACCCTCATGGATGACTTGGAGGCGCTCTGGACTTCAGTGGAGGAATGAACTGCAGGTGTGGTAGAAATAGCAAGAGCACTAGAATGGGAAGTGGAGCCTGAACATATGACTGAATGGCTGCAATCTCATGATCAAGCTTTCATGGATGAGGAATTGCTTCTTATGGATGAGCAAAGATAGCAGTTTTTTGAGATGGAATCTACTTCTGGTGAAGATGCTGTGAAGACTGTTGAAATGACAGCAAAGAACTGAGAATATGACATCAACTTACATGATTAAGGTTCATGTTTGAGAGGACTGACTCCAGTTGTGAAAGAGTTCTACTATGGGTAAAATGCTTGCAAACAGTCTCACGTGCTACAGAGAAACCATTCATGAAAAGAAGATTCAGTCAATGTGTCAAACTTCACTGCTGTCTTATTTTAAGAAATTGCCACAGCTCCCACCCTATTCAGTCAGCAGCCATCAACAAGGCAAAACCCTCCACTGGCAAAAAAGATTACAACTCACTAAAAGCTCCAATGATGTAGCATCTTTTAGCAATAAAGTTGCTATTTGTTTTTATAACAAATAAAGTTTTTATTTGTTTTTTTAAATGTTTATTTTTTAAAGAAAGAGAGAGGGAGAGAGCGTGGGGAGGGACAGAGAGAGAAGGGGACAGAGGATCCCAAGAAGGCTCTGTGCTACCAACAGGGAGCCGATGTTGGGCTTGAACTCATAAAACATGAGATCATGACCTGAGCTGAAGTTGGATGCTCAACCAACTGAGCCACCCATGCGCCCCGGCAATAAAGTATATTTAAGTTTATGTATTTGCACTCTTTTTTACACACAATCCTATCGTGCACTTAGTATATATATATATATATAGTAGTATAAACATAACTTTTATATGTACTGGGAAACCTTACACACAATCCTATCGTGCACTTAGTGTATATATATAGTAGTATAAACAACTTTTATATGTACTGGGAAACCGACAAAATTCATTTGACTGCTTTATTGTGATATTTGCTTTACAGCTGTGGCCTAGAACTGAACCCGCAATATCTTTAACCTGTGTATAAAAAAATCTTTATGAGTTTTTATAGGGGATTATCTGATTCCTTAATTCTGAGTCAAAAGGATACATAAAAGTACTTGTTTCTGATATTCTGTGTGTGTGTGTGTGTGTGTGTGTGTGTGTGTAAAAGGGAGAGAGACACTCAGATGATGGAACGGGCAAAATGATAGTTTTCAACAAACTGAGAAGCATTCAGTAGTTGTGCTCTGCTGTGGTTACACACGGTACTCTGCAGCCAAGCTTTGACTCCACACCTTGAATAGCTGTCAAGGTTTTCCAAAGAACACGTGCTTCACTCTGATTTCAGGTATTCAAAAGTTATTTTCCTTTCATTGTCCATCACACATTTATCACAATCCTAGCAATGGTGCACCTGACTCCACCATTCACGTGCCAAAGCAGAATGACACTGCTTGTCAAAATCAGGGTGTTTTTGAGGTTTTTACCGATTTCAACTTTTAGCTGAGTTTTGTTAATAAGTATGTTTCACTGCACTCCCTTGTATTATAGACTCAGAAGACAAGTACCTTAGCAGGAACTGAGAGAAGTAATGAGTTCATCCTGGTTCTATTTGGAGAGGACCCCTTTAAACCAGCAAGTAGAGAAATGACTCTATGCTAGTATTTCTCAGGCCTCCACATCACAATGACCCAGGGGCACTTGCCCAAAATGTATTCTTTTCAAGCAGAATCTCTGGGCCTAGAGTCCTGGAATACACATTTTAAACAAGTTCCCAGGTGATTCTACTGCAAACCACGGTTTGTAAACCTCTGTTCTATACTACAGGAAGCTAGCACCCCATCTACATTTATTCCTGCGAAAGGGGTGTGTGTGTGCTAAGGGAGAAAGAGACGTGGCTATTGGTGGCCCATTAAAGGACATCCTCTCTCGCATCCTGCAAGACCACCTTGGGGGCAGAAGCGCAGCTGAATTCATCCGGAGGAGATTTTAGTGAGCCCGAGGTTCCTACTAGCAGAGAGAACTGCCAGAACTCTGTTGGCTAGACTCTTCTAAATCAAGTAGCCCTAAGGTAGGGAGGAGACCTGTCTTAAAGGACTAGAAAGTTAGCTCCTCAATTACCAGTTAATGCTTTGCAAAGGGTTAGTTAACAGCATTCTGAGAGTAAGGACAGGAGACCGGGAAGGCACCTGAAGACAGAAAGGGACATTAATTAATAGGGAGGTAGCAGGTGGCAAGGGAGCAACTCTTCTGTCACTCAAAGTCACCTTAGCTGCCAAGGAGCCCCATCTCACCTGGGCTACAGGAGCATCTCTGCAGTTGTGGGCAATGGTTTGCTGTGTGCTCTCTGGCCTCACAAGCTGGGGGGTTGGGGAGGACAGGGCTGGACAAGCAGGGCCTCAGTAGTGGGGCTATGCCGGAGTCATCTCGAGGGCGGAGGCAACAGGTTTTAATCTAGCAGGTAATCTGAGAAACACCCTGCCTGACCCAAAGCCAAATTTTGTTAAAGAAGAGATTCTCAACCACTATGGAGAGAACACCAAAGCTCCGGGTTTTCTAATTCAAGTATGGAGCCCCTGTTTTTTGAAACAATAGTTTCTGTCTAACTGTGAATACGATGGCATCTCCGAGCAATGGGCAATCCAGGGAAAGGGCATGACTCCAGGTGAGAGCATGGACTCTGGAGCCAGAGTGCCTAGGAGTGAATCCTGGGCCTGCCACTCCCTACTTGGGTGAACTGGTGTGAGTCATTTCACTTCTCTGTGCCTCAGTTTCATCATCTATAAAAGGGGGATTTAAGTGGTGCTTTCGACATAAGGAGTAAATAGGGTAAGGTCTGCAAAGCACTTTGAACTCAGCGAGTCCCTTATACATATTTGCTATTATTTTTCTTAGTCTCTCTGCCGAGGGTTGCCTCACAACAAATACTAAAAGATGGGTCTCGGAGCTGAAGCGGGAAAAGAATCCTTGTGTCATCGGTACGGCTGATGTTCTTTCAAGATCAACAGTGGCTCTTTTGATTTAATTCCAGTCTTCCCTCCTCCCCCAAACCCTGCGGAGGGCACTGCTGGGCCACAGTCCAGGCATCTTCTGTTGGGGCAGCAGGTTCTCAGGTCCTCTCTGAAGAGCCTTTCAAGGGAAAAGGACGTGGGCTGGCAGACGAATAAACCCCTATTTTGTGTAGCTCAGCTAACAGGGCAAATATAATGTCCACCAAATTATTTGCTGGTAAAGCTTCCCAGGGCAAGACTGAAAATAAAATTCTGTTAGAAATCCACTGCAGGGTATGAAATGGAATTATCTCCACCAGGATTAAATCACACTTCCTGAGTCTGACAGCGCGTTTCCCGGGAGAGTGAGCGCCATGCAGCCACTTCTTCACTGTTGTTCCTGACTCCTTCCCCCACCGACTGTCCGGCCCATTCAGTCTCCCCTGCCAGCTCACTGCGGCTTGAGCCTTTGAAACAAAGAGCTGGGGTACTTCTGGTTGGGGGAACTGTTGGCAAGGGGAATTCTAGAGACGAACTGAAGCAAGACACTCACACATGTGATGGACACTAAGTTTAAATTTGATGTGAATTATAATCAAGTATGTTAAAACCCATGCTGTCGTTCGAATAGCTACAAGCCCATCACTCTGGGCTTCTCAACCTGTATGACTTTATTAGGAAATTTCTTTACGAATTCAATAGTTATGGACTGAGCTGAATGGGAAGCACAGTATGATTACAGTATGGATGCTGCAGTATCAGACTATTTCGGTTTGAGTCCTTTCTCTGCCACTGAGTAGCCATCAAACTTTGGGCAGGTCAATTTTTTTTTCCTTATGCCCCAGTTTTCTTAGCCACAGAATGGGGATTTTAAAAAAGGCAGGTAACTAACTCTTAGGGTTGTTGTAAGGATTAAATGAGTTAACGTGTATGAGGGATTGTAATGATGCCTGGCATTTTTCTTGGCACAGGGGCCTGGAAGATGAGCGAACCATCAGGGAGCCCACAATCCATAAACATGGTACTGCATCCAGCTCCTATCATGTACTTTGCACAAAATGGGTGAACACACACACAAGTCTTGGGGGGGTGGGGTGTCTAGGTGGCTGTTTGTAAAGTCTTACTCTTGGTTTTGGCTCAGGTCATGATCTCATGGTTTGTGGGATCAAGTCCCCTCGTCGGGCTCTGCGCTGATGGCAGGAGCCTGCTTGGGATTGTGTCTCTACCTCTCCCCCACTTGCTCACATGCACGCACATGACATATTTCTCTCTGTCAAAATAATTAAAC